ATAATCGTCTGAAACTGTTAAGTCATGATGTGAAACGGTTAACAAAGAAAAAGGGAAACTCAAGCTGCTGCTACACTTTATATTATTTATCTAAAATTAAGCACTTTTAAGATGCACATATTTTCAAAAGCTATTTTATTTAATTTGCTCTATTTTATTTTTAAATGCAGCCATAGAGGAACATTGCACATATCCACAGTATGTTACTGTACATCTGTATAGTTCAATGTTAATTGACAATAAATATGGTTGTTTATGAATTGTACTTTCTTTATTTGATTGGCAGTCAGTTGTTGATTACATGCAGACGTTGATAAAGCTACAGGTCACTTTAATATATATCACACTAATTCATGATGCAAGTTAGACATTTTGATGTTCCGGACCTTTGCATGGGGAGATTTTCTCTAACTGGGCCTCGTTAAATTTGAGTTGAATACCCCTGCTATAGAGTGTACAGAATAATAATATTAGTTCGATTAATTATAAATAAAGATAGTTTATTTATGTGATCTCTGGACGAAGTATAAAGGAGGCTTTTTTTTCTTTCTCCATCTCCCTTCCCCCGCCTCTTTTTTTATCTCGACCCTGCCTTTATTTTTCTGACTCATTTATTTTTTTGTCCTCATCTCCATTTTCCTGTTGCTTTCTTCCTTTTCAATCATATCCCGCCTTCTTTCTGTCCTCACTCTCTTCTCTCACCCTCCAGGTTGTTTGAGTACCATGGCCGGGTGTCTCCAGTCCCTCGGGTGGTGCCTGTGAAACGACCTCGAGTTGCGATGCCTCTGGTACGACGGGTCCAATCCCTGCCGGTCAAACTGGTGGCACGTAATGCTGGAGTCCTCCCCACCAGCAACGGCAACAAACATAAATGTAAGTTAACCTGTTTGTCTGTGGAAGTTAAATCACTGGCTAACTTTTGAAAAACAAGAACTAGGGCTGCTTTACCATTTGCAATGTGGCATTTTCACTAGTTTTATCACTAGTAATTATTTTTCTGTAACATGATAAAAAAACATGTTTAATCTGTTAGCCAAGCAGTGACTTTACTCCCTTGATCTAACTGTATCCGTTAGTAACTCATTTTGTAAAAACATGGGAAAATACTTGTAAAATTAAAAAAGGATTACGTTTTTAACATGTCATGCATACTACTAGTTAGCTTCCAATGGATTCCAAGACACCATATTCATACAAATCAGGAAAAGTAAGTCCAAGTTTCACAATGACATTTTAGGCCTCTACTGTCCAAAACTGAATTATTCAATCACTGGCAAAGAAAGCAGATGTAATAAAGAGGAAAATAGCCCAAATGTATTATTATTTTATAATTGTATAATATTGTGATATAAACCACTACCAAACTTCAACCTTGTGTCTCTCTGTCTGCGTCCCTCTTCCTTTTCTTTGTTGTTCTCATTCGTAACACTCCGTTCGATGTCTCACTATGGGATGCGCCTCATCGCGGAGCAAACAGAAGCATCAATCTCATTACGCCAATCCTGATTGGCTGGTGATCTTGACGTCAGCGTCAGGGAATCTACCCCCTATAAGTAGCTTGCGCTACGCCGCATGCATCGTTCAAACACCTCTTCTCGCTTCAGAGCACATCTCTATTGGTAGCCGGGCTAGCTCACACAGTCCACAGACGGAACCAAGCTATCCAAGCTAACTTCGGTCGACGGGCGCTCGCCGGCTACTTTTATATATACTTCTGCAAGAAGACTGTTAATACTAACACACCAGTTAGTGTTGCAATCTACCTCGCCGTTTATTTCTTCGGAATTAAAGGTAAGGTTTTGATTTTTCAAGCTGGTAACACACCTGCTACTAGCTTGCCTTTCCTCACTACCGACACCAAGGTAGCGGGGACGGTTTTTTCTTTTTCTCTCTCACACCAGAGGAGGGGAAGATAAAAAGGGTATTAACACACCAGTTAATATTCTTTGAGAATAAAATTCTACACCGTCGATTTTTTCTCCGGATTAACGACAGGTGGGGAAGGATTTTTTCTCAGCAACGTACCTGTTACGAGCGGGTCCTCTCCACGCCTTCACCACGGCGAACGAGATGGACGCTTCTCTCCCTCACACCAGAGGAGTAAGGGACTCGGAGGCTCGGCTCTGCGGCTGCGGGTTGAAGATATCAGGCACAGACTCACACCAGGTCTGCTCGTCCTGCCTCGGGCTG